AAAAAAAGGAAACCCGCCTGTCCACGATGTCTGATTGTGCAGTGACGGGCAGTACCCGCAGCGAACCACGATGTGTGATTGAGAGACTCCGTGTCTATTACCAACAGAGGAAATAGGAGTGCTTCCCGACTGCGCCAAATGGCACGTCTGACCGGAGCCCCAATTTCTGAACTTGTTCAGACCAGTTTGATTGCACCTGTTGCTGTCAATCACAAACAGGTCAATCTCAGGCCAAATGCTTGCTTCCAGTTTGATTCTAGCAACTTAACTTTAACATCCCCCCATCCATGGTGATGCTTCACTTAGCCGAGCTTTAAGATCTTTTATGCTCCCATTTTTAGTACTAGCGTTTTGATGAGATGTTGCTGGGTTATCAGAATTTTTCATGAGTACATTTTGGATGCTTTAAACTTTTTATCTTGCTTTTTTTATTATATTGTTAATTGATGCCAGAACAACTTGGCACAGAATACAGGCTATAAATACCTAAAGTAAAAGAAATGCAGAAATAAGTTAGAACCCATGCACTTACTACCCTCTTGGTGTGCTGTTTCTCCTAACAGAAACCACACATACTGCTGATACTGTCAGTATGATGTAGCAGTAAGAGGCCTACACTGAGGCAGATCCAGGTTCAAATCCCCTCCTCAGCCATAAAGCTTGTTAGGAGCGGGGGTCATTTCCTGCAAGAGCGCACAGGAGAGGAGCTCCGGCAGTAAAGAGCCCAGGGGGCGGGCACATGCAACAAGCCCTGCCCCCTGTACCCAGCAGCCCTCAGTCAGAGCAAGAAGCAGCCAGGTAAGCTGCAGAGCCCCCCCCCCAGTCCAAACCAGTCCAGGGGCACCTTTAAGACCAAGTTTTATTCAGGTACCAGCTCTCCCTCCTCTGCGAGGACAGATCTGCACGTCACCCCCCCCCAATAGCTAGCAATCCAAAACAGTCCAGTGGAGCCTGAGAGGTGGGTGTTGCCTTCTGACACACTACCGGTGATGTCAGGGGGTGTGGCATATGCAAATAAGTTATGCTAATGAGTTATGCTAATGAGCTCCTGCACCTCTTTGTCTACGAAATGACCCCTGGTTAGGAGACCTTGGACTAGTCATCCTCTCTTGCCTTAACCTACCTCACTAGCTTTTTGTGAGAAGGAAAGGGAGGAAGAGAGAGCTATATATGCTGCTTTGAAACCTTGGAGAAAAGCTGAGGTTTTAAAAATACATATACTAAATAAATAAACTCAATAAGCAGGGGGGAAAGGCAGATGTAAACAGGTCTTATGCCCTCCTTGTTTCTCCCTGTACTGGAATTAATAGCAACCAAAGGGAGGGAAAAAATGTTATTGGGGAAATGGCACATTGAGAATGAGTCAGCCCCCCTTCCCCCACCCCAAGCACACCATGTCCCCAAATCAGAACCTTCTTCCCACTGGTACTTTTTTCACTGAGATTCAGTCAACCATTCTCCTTCGACTTTTTGTCATTCACTTCTGGAACAAAGACCCACCTCAACCTTTGCTCTCTATAGCCAGGGATACACACTGGGTGAGGTAGGTTGGCACAGAAGTGCACAGCAGGGCCCACATTTGCCCAGCATGGTGCAATAGTTAGAGTGTCAGACTAACATTTTGGAGAGCCAGGTTTGAATCCCTGCTCTGCTATGGAAATTCACTGGAAGAACTTGGGCCAGTTACACACATCCTCAACCTAACCTACCTCATGAGCAGTACTCCCTCTAAGTTGAGTTACTGTGAGATGTGAGGTTGCTCACAGTTTTTTAGCCTCTGGCTCAAACAATTTTGTCTTAGCTCAGGAAGGATGGCTCCAGAGCAAACTAATTTATGCAGTAGCCAAATCGCTCACTCAAGACTTTAATGCCAGTAGCTCACAAAGTAGAATTTTTGCTCACAAGATTCCACAGCTTAGAGGGAGCATTGCTCATGAGGTAGGTTGTTGTGAGGATAAAACCCCACTGTAAATTGCTTTGGGCCCCTAGTGGGAAGAAGAAGAAGAAGAGATTGGATTTATACCCCGCCCTTCACTACCCAAAGGTGTCTCAGAGCGGCTTACAAACTCCTTTCCCTTCCCCTCCCCACAACAGACAC